CAATCTTTGATTTAATCAAGAAACGAGCAATGTTTTTTATTGCAGTTTTTTGTATATATGCCACGTATGCAAATATATTGCTTTATGGGCTTTTAAACATTTGGGCCTTGATCAACCGTTTACCTGTTAAAGAGTTTCAACAAACAGTTTTGTTATTATTTATTTATTTTTAACTTGAACAGGTCTGTTATTTGACCATAAAAAACCAGTTAATTTTCTCTATGAAATAAAAAGGGTTTTTTTTAAAGGTTAATAATTAAAGGTTAGGAAAAATGGGATATGTAGCAAATTATAGACCATTGAATTTGAGGTTTTGGGTTAGTTTTTAAATTATAATTTTTTTTGTTGTATATTTGGCAAATTTTCCCAAATAAAAATGTTCCCAAAAAAAAAAAACTATATATTATAAAAAACAAGAGCCACATCATCCTAATTTTACAAAACGCCCATACAGCTCTGTACTACTACTAATTAAACATACACTGTTTGGGACTTCAGGAGAGGGCTCTCTTTACTCTATTATACAATTTTGTTATTTTCCTTTGTATTTTTTTTTACAAAAATAAAAATAAAAACCCTAACTTAAGGCTTAAGCAACTGAGATACATCTTCGGTGACCTACATTTCTTCTAATCTTTTGTCGTTTGGTCTCTTCTCTCCACACACTTCCAATGTCTTGAGCGATGTTCACGGCGTCTGCTGATGCTCCTGCCAATCCTTTTCTCGTGAATCCGGCCGCGTATAAACCCGATTTCCCTTTCCAAGCGTTTGGAAACGGCGATTTCGGGAATCCATTCTTCGAAAAGAATTCACTTTCCTAATTTTTCAAAAACAAAAACATAACCAATTCAGTTTACTTGTTTCACAAGAAACATAATCTAATTGTGTACAAATCTTATAGAATTTGTTTCTCACCTGAAGCCAAGAAGGGACGTTGCTACGGTAACCGGTGGCGAGAACCACGGCGTCGATATCTAGCTTCTGACCATCTACGAGCTCCACGTGGCAATGCGAGAATCGTTTGATTGCAGGGACGATTTCTACTTCGCCGGATTTTATCTTCTCCAGAGCACCGATGTCTAGAACCGGTGTCTTTCCGGTCATGCTTTTGAGCTCCATTGGGCCTATGTTGGGTCTTTTGAGCCCATACTTTGATAAGCTCCCTAGAACTAGCCATGATAAGATCAACAAAAGCTTGTCTACGAGCCATAGAGGTAACCATTTCATCATCATCACTGAGATTCCAAATGTTGATTTCCCAAGAATTTCCCTTGGTAACACATGAACCTGATCGAATTAAAAAAAAAAACACACAATTAGCTTCACGTTTCAAACTTTATGAAATGGCACTAATTTTGTCTTCATGGTCTTATTAAAATTTAGCTTAAAGTTTCAAACTTTATTCAAATCCTATAAGAACTATTTTTGAAAATAATATTCAAGAAATTACGTGGCTGTAAAAAAATAAAGTTTTGTTTTGTTTTTTTGCTTACCGAGCTTCGAACGACCATGGAAGCAATAGCATTATGATTAGCAAGATCAAGAGAGACTTCCATGCCGGAGTTTCCACATCCGACGACAAGAACTCTCTTTCCTCTGTATCTCTCGCCGGACTTGTACTCACAAGCGTGAATCACTTCACCGTCAAACTCCGTTTTAAGCCCATCAATCTCCGGTACAACACGCTCGGCGTTTTCTCCCGTCGCAACCACCAACCACCGGCAAATATATTCCATCTCCTCTCCGGCCACCGTCGAGGTCGTCCTAACCCGCCATAGACCGCTGGTTTGATCAAACCGAGCAGACTCAACGCATCTATTGAACTCCGGTTTGATATCGAACCGGTTTGCGTATGACTCAAGGTAATCGATGAACTGTCGTTTTGTTGGGTATTCAGGGTAGTGATCAGGGAAGGGCATTTTCGGTAATTGGCAGAATTTTTTAGGTAAGTGAAGCTTGAGCCTATCGTAGGTTCGTCTTTGCCATAGTGAAGCTATGCAATCTGATCTCTCGACCACAACGAATGGGACTCCTTGATCACGAAGACAAGCTGCTGTTGCTAAACCGGACGGACCGGCTCCTACGATAACCGGACCGTTGACCCAAATACACCGACGGTCTGAGAAATATTCTTCACTTCCCATGAGTCTAAACATATTCTCCATTTTTTTGTGTAGTAAAATCGAGTATGGTTTAAAAGTGTTTTTGATCGAAATAGAATAAGTGTTTGTGAGTGTTTGTTGTATGAGAAATGAAATCTATTGGTTTGGATTTGGAGTGAGAGGAGATGTGTGTGATATATATAGGAGTTATGAGGAGCCTGCATGTGATTTGCGCGTTCTATGGATTTGATCATTTTTAAACAAATTTATTAGTGTGAATAATTTGTATGCAATATTATATATAGGGACCTAACTTTGTCATATGCTTTTGCATAAATTGCGATATATTTTAACATTATTTTGGCTTTTGCTCAATAGAAAATAGAAATATTCGATTCTAATTTTATTGCAAAGTTTTTTGTGTGACTTTGATAATTTAGAGTATATCTAACAATCTAAGCCGTATGGAATAGGAAACAGAAACGTGGAAGCGAAATGTTAGAAAACGCGGAAACGATTTTTCTTTAAAAAAGAGGAAACGAAAACGTTTTGGAAAC